CTATAGGGCGCGTGCGCTCACCAGACAGAGAGAGACATAGAGACAGAAAGCAAGAAATCACACCCCAGGGGGGATGGTCACGCTGCAATCCCTTCTCCTCCATTCTCCTCCCGGGATCTTGGGCACGCATGCACATGCGCCCGGCGTGAGTTTTAAGCCACCGGGTCCGGGACGTGAACCGCGGTCGACTACGTGGGAGTCCAGCAACATAGCCATTATGCTAACTGCTGGTTCCTGAGGTTTGCTTGTTTTTGTAGATATCAATCATCAGTTTAAGAAAGCTCCCTTCTAGCCCTAGCTCTTATATTTTTATTTTAAAGTAAGTGTTTACATTTTTCAATTTTTTCAACATTTATTGAAATAATCACATGGTTTTTCTCCTTTCTGTTAATGTGATAATTTTTTATTGTTGAAATTACTTTGAATTACTGGAATAACTCATTGTTTTTCATGTATCACTGGATTAAACTAGCTGATATTGTTTAGGATATTTATTTAAAACTTATTGACAAACAATTGTTATAAATATTCTCTTGGTAAAATGTCTATTTGCCAGGAAATGAAGGATTTCCTAGGACATTAGTCTCAGTGCTAAAGCCAATACAGTCCCAAGCAAACCAAGACAGCCAGTCACCCTGATGGTATCTCCTCCCTCTTTCTTTCGTTTTTTGAAAAAACAAAAACTTTATTTATTTATTTATTTATTTATTTATTTATTTATTTATTTTAATTTGACCAGAGAGGAACAGAATGAGAGAGAGAAGGAAAGTGAGAAAGCTGAACTGCTGTTGGCCATGTGGGAGTCCAGCGCCCTTAACCACCAGGCCACCTGCCGGCCCTTCCTTCCTCTCTCTTGTTAGAGGTTCATCAATTTTATTAGGCTTTCCAAAGAAATCTATTGTTAATTTTCATGCCGTTGATTTTTGTTCTTTCTTTCCTTCTTTCTTTTGGGTTTAGTTTGCTATTCTTTTCCTACCATCACGAATATTCAATTCATTTACTTTCAGCCTTTCTTTTCTAAGACATATGCTTAAAGCTATCAGTTCCCCCCGTGCATGGTTGTAGCTGCATTCTATAAATTCTGGTATGACAGACTCTTTTTTTAGTATTCAGTTCAAAGTCTTATTTTAAATTCCATTGCAAGGTCTTTTTGGACTCGTGGTTATATGAAACTATTTTAATTCCCAAACATATGGGGATTTTCTACATATATTTTGTTGTTGATTTCTAGCTTTAGTTTACTGTGGCCTGAAAACATCAATATGACTTTTGTCTGTTGAAATTTGTTGAGACTTATTTTAAGGCTCATCATATAAAAAATTTTTGGTAAATGTTCTATGTGCACTTGAAAATAATTTGTATTTTTCAACTGTTCGGTAAAGTTGTTAGTTCTTTCATTAGGTCAAGCTTTTTAACTGGCGTTATGAGTCTCCATCTCTACTCATTTCATTGTTGCTGCTGCTGTTCTTTTTCTAAGAAAGGTGAACAATAAATTCTATTTAGTGTGGGTCTTCTGGCAATTCCATTTTTATTTATCTGAAAGTCTGTTTATTAACCTTCATAGTTAAAGGAATTTTTTGCTGAGTATAGGTTCTAGAATGGCATCACTTTCATTCAGCAGTATTTATATTCGGGCTTTCATTATTCTATTGCAAAGGCTTTTGTCTGTGTAATTGTTACTCCTTTGGAAGTGATGCGTCTTTCTTTTCTCTGGAACTTTTGTTTGTTTGTTTAGGTTTTTGTCATAGGACATATGCACTTGCTGGAGAGAATGAGAAATCAACCTACCCCAGTGGGAGGGTGACCACACAGCAAACCCTTTTCCGCTATTCCCCTCTTGGGATTTTGGGCAGGCATGCGCAGGCGCCCAGCGTGACTTTCTAAGCTATCAGGTCTGGGACTGGAACCATGGTCAGCCATGTGCAATCCAACACCTTATCCACCACCTACCTGCTGGCCCCTTTCTGAGAGTTTTTAAAGGTGGTATAGGGTTAAGGGCACTGGACTCCTACATGGCCAACTGCAGTTCAAGTCTCGAATCTGGTGGCTTGCTTTCTCACTCCCCTCCCCTCACCTCTGTTCCTCTCTGGTCAAACTGAAATAAAATAAAGATAAAAATAATTCTTTTTTTTAAAGAAAAAAGATATACCTAGGACAGTTTTCTTTATTTTTATCTTGCTTGGGTTTTGTGGAACATCTTAAATGTGTGGCTCAATGTCTTTTATCAGAATCATGAGAATTTGGAAAATTCTCAGCAAATCTCGTCAAATATTGCTTCTGTTTCATATTTTCATCTCATTCTGTGACTATGAGCCACAAACACCTATTCACATAACATCAAAACAACTGTACAACTGTTTTCTGTTTTTGGGGGGGGTTCTTTGAGAATTATTTATTTAATTTTACTTATTTATTTATTTATTTCTGGA